TGATTTATACTTTGCCTCAGGATGAAGATCCACTCCTAGAAGGTGTGTGTTTATAATTACTAGGCAGTACTTCATATTTATGAGCAATGTGGTCCGAGGCTTGGGTAAGTGTATAACACAGTGTGTGCAAACACAGTGTGTATAGTGTGTGCATGGAAGACACTCAGCAAACATGGCGCACATGCAGAGCCATCGCTTTACTTTGCATGCTTTCAGAGTGGGGTGGTCCTAAGGGCAGTATGGAAAGATTTATGATTTTTTTAATCCTCTAAAACAATCTGTATGTTCCAAGCTCACTACAGGATAAGTTAAGAGATTTTTCAAGTAAGACTGACCCTGTTTCCCCATTGTTATCCTGGAAACAGAAGTCCTTGCACATGCTGAGCAGTGCTGGCCAGGAATAGACAGACTCTGTACCCTGATGAGACCTGGATGTGATCCATGTGAAGTGACAGGGTGTGCAGCCCACCCTGATATGAGGCAAATGTTCATTTCCCTCCTTACCGGCATTGCGTTGCCAGCATCTTCTCCACACATAAACTGGATCTTTATTGTAATGTTCCGGGCTGATGCTAGTTTGTTAGCAAAGTTCAGCCTCTGTGGGTACACATAGAGAAGATTTCTGAAAAAGAAGAGATAAAGAGTTAATGAAAAAGGTCTAGAGTTTATTTTAACTAAGTTTGCAGCAAATGCTGAGACTTCCATTCATGGGGTGTTTTTCCAAAGGACTTTTTCCTCTTGAAGTGAATTATTATTGGAGGAGAGAGTGAATTACTTGATTCTTCCTCTTTAGCCACAGTCATCTGAAAATAGCCCCTATTGCTCTCTGTTTTGCTACAAGTAAAGAGTGCTGCAGCTCAGAACGTCTTAATGCCTTGGAATGTGGAAATCTGCCTAGAGGTAACTATCTCCGACAGTCAGATAAAGAAAGCAAAACTGGTCCCGCTCATTTTAAATAAAACTCATGGCCACAGGTGATGGCCTAATGTCATTCTTCTCTTTTTCCCTTCCTAATTTTTATGTAGTAGTCTCCTTCTGTTCTCATCTAAGATAACAGCTCAAGCCCCCAAGCTCAATTACTGTATAACAACAACAATATGAATGATATATCCATTCATTTGACAACTAGGCTACGCAGTGCCTGGGTAACTTGCATATGTTTTTCTATTTGCATTATTTGTAGTAGATTCCACTCAAATGTAAGTTCCACAAAGATAGGGATTTTTCTCTGATGTTTCTGATCCACTGATGTATCTCTAGCAGCTAGCATGGTGCCTGGGACATAGCAGCACTAAGTAAATATTTGTTGAAGGAAGGAATGAATGTATGCATATTTGATGAAGTATATTCCTGGCTTGAAGAAACAATAATAGTGATACTAACATTTGTATAGGACTTAGATCCTGAGTCAGGCCAATTTCCAAATACTTCATATTTATTAATTTGGTTAATTCTCATAGTTATCCTATAGGTAGGTACTATTATCACTGTCATCATCCCCATGTCACAAGTGAGGAACAAATGAGATACAGAGATGTTAGGTGATACATCCCATATCATATAACTAAATGGCAGAGCTGGGAATTGAACCCCGACTGCCTAGTTCCAGAGTCACACTCATAACCACTGTGCTATATTCTCTCAGATAAAAGCCCTGCTAAGTATAGCCTTTTCATACTGTGCTATCTTGACATCTCTCAGGGACGAGTTTGCCTTAATTTTCTAGGTATTAACAGTGGCATGTCAACCTGCATTTCCTAGCCTGTCCCACAGATCCCTAATGTTCTGCAAACTATTAACAAGTGTGGGGGAAGGGGAGAGGGTTGAGCAGATGTAGTTGGGGAAGACCGGGGCAAGTGAGATGAACAGGTTACTGTGCCCTGGGAATGCCTTAGAGGGAGACAGACTCTTCTTTCCCCAAATGTTTTGCCCTCAGAACTCCTTTCATTTATTCATTTTTTCACGGTATATTTTATGAAACTAATGTTCTGAGAAATTACTTGGGGAAACGTTGAGATAAACTTATCTAGTCACAGAAGAACATCTCACATCAAGGAAAGAAAAGATAGGGCACAAGAATTGTCTACTCAGATCTCTTGCAAAATAATGAATGCTCTCAGGTATCTGACAGGAAAAACGATAATTAGAACTGTCAAGAACACACAGGAGCTGTTACGTTGGATGTGCAAGTTCAAAGGCCATGTAGGCAAATAAACAGATTCCTAGGTCTTATTTTACCTCCATCTCTCTATTTTGGGTGACTCCCTGGAGGCAGAGTGGGGCTGGACCAGTCCTGGGAACGGATCTGAGCTACTGTACCCTGTGACTTCCTGGGCTGATCTATGACAACACTCAGCGAGCTTCAAATACCAGTGAGGTGTAGATGTCTTCCCAGAAAAGTAGACAACAGGCCATGACACAATAAAGGAATTAGCATAGCATTCTGAAGTGCTAAGGCCAGGGGGCACCTAGACTGAGCCCCAAGTTTTCAAGATGAGACACATGGTGAATGAACCACAGAGCAGTCAGAGACCCAGTACAGTGCTGTTTCCACTCAACCATATGGCCATCTAAGCAGCACCTCCCAAAGCTTGCTCTGTCTAAACTGATGCAGCCTAAAACCCTGATGCAGGTAGATATGGTTGAGCCACTGATGCTGTCAGGAGTGGACATGGATATAGTATATGAGGACGGAAGACAGTTTACAGTTGCGGTGCAGGGATGTGTGGGGGTTACAGACTCCTCTCTGCTCACTGCTCTCTTCTGTTCATCTCCACTGCCACCAATCAAAAAGCAGAGCTAATGTCAGAGAGGGGATGAGGGTGTTCTCTCTGGAGCCAGAGAGCCGGGATTTGAATCCAGCTTTTGCTTCTTTTAGCTGCACGGCCTTTGGCAAGTTACTTAGCTTTCCCAAAGCACAATTACACTGACTTCAGAGGGCTGTGGTGAGCATTAATGAGCACCAATTGAAATCTAGAAGACTTCTCTGGAAAAAGAAAGAGCCTTCTCTGAACAGGTAAGTTTTACGACTAGCAGTAGGCTTCCATTATTATCATTAGAATAGAGGCATGATATATGCTTTTAAAGGCATGGTATATGACCAGTGATTTACTTGTGTACCTTATCAAGCACAAATCTGTAAACCCAAAAATGTGAACACTGAAAATATACTGAAGTTACATGGCCCCCCTAAAAACGTAAATGATGGCCATTATGATAATTATTTCCTCCACATGGCTAACAAGTCAGATCCTCACTCCAGCCCACTTTGCCCTGTCTCTCTACTCTGAACCACCCTCATTCTCACATGGACCCCTGCAAAACCTTCTCAATAGATCTTGACGTCTACACTTGCCTCTTACAATCTTCTTCATATATTGATGAGAAGGATCTTTCAAAAATGTAAAATAAATTATGTCAGGCCCTACAAGGGTTTCCCAAACTTTTTATCATGGGTCCTGCATGACCTGGGCCTTGGCAATGGCTCTGACCTTATCTGTCATCATTCTCCCATGCTGGCCTTTTTCAAAACCTAGAACATTCCAAACTTATTCCTTCCTCTGTGCCTTCTGTTTCCCAGAGTGCTTCCCTGTTCACTAAATGGCTGGGTCTTCTCATTTTTGGGGTTCAGCGTGTACGTCATATCTTCCAATGTCTTCCCTGCCATTCTATTTCATTCACCTGTTCCACTTTCACACACACACTCCCTCTTTCATAATCATATGATTATCATATACAGAGATGACTATGAAAGTAATGTGTGCCCATTTTTTTCAACCATGGATAACTTAAAAGTACATAACACTATAAAGAAAAGAATAGCAGCTTCTCAATATACCACTGTACCAAGAAAGATCACCGTTAATACTTTAAAACATTTATATTTTGTCTTTTCTCCTCTACACATTAAACTTTTTTTTTTTTTTTTTTAATTTTTGAGATAGGATTTCACTCTGTGTTGCCCAGGCTGGAATGTGGTGGTGTGATTACAGCTTACTGCAGCCTCAGCCTCCTGGGCTCCAGTGATCCTCCAGCCTCAGCCTCCCAAGTAGCTAGAACAGCAGGCATGCATCATGACACCTGGCTAATTTTTAAATTTTCTGTAGAGACAGGGTCTCACTGTGTTGCCTAGGCTGTCTTGAACTCCTGGCCTTCAGTGATATTCCTGCGTTGGCCTCCCAAAGTGCTGAGATTATAGGCATAAGTCACTACGTCTGGCCACATAAAACATTTTTATCATACTGTATGTACAAAGCTTTATCTTTTTTATGACACTAAATGTTCAGTTATGACTGACTATTCTTGATAAACATGATTTTAATGGGTGCATGGTATTGAATATTCTGAATATGCCGTAATTTACAATGGTCTCCTCTAAAAATAAGTGTTTAGGTTATTTCCTTGCTTCAGTTATAAAGCTGTGATGAACACTTGATATATCTCGACCCTCTGCAGTACAGCATACTTTTGGAAGAATTCCTTTAAATTCTGTAATGCTCAGCTTCATCATCTTTGAATTAATTAAAAGACGTCAATCAACCTTTCTTTAATGCCGTGTTTGAAGGAATAATGAGCCAGAGTTTGTGAAGTTGCCTTGAAGTAGCTGGATGAAAGGGACTGTGTAAATCAGAACAATAGTAGCCCTGCCAGACTTACCACCACACTCGTCTCTTTCACTCCAATACAGGGGCACCACCACCCATTCCCATGCACCCCCATGGCTGTTCAGCAATTTTGCACGTTGCTTCCAAAGGGGTTGCTTACCCCTGTATCCAAACATCACCGCCACAGATACTTAGTGTCCTGCCCCAAACTGCCTGTGCTCTCCACTGAGCACGCAGCTGGAAGGAAACATCAAGAGAATTTACTCCAACATCCCATTTTTTCAAGGCCAGGAAACTAGCTCCCAGGAAGGTTAAATGAGTTGCCTAAAATTCTTTTTAAGAAGATTCATTTCCTAAGGGTCATCATTTTGTTTTGTTTTGTTTTGGTTTTTTTTTTTGAGATGGAGTCCTGCTCTGTCACCAGACTGGAGTGCAGTGGTGCAATCTCGACTCACTACAAGCTCCGCCTCCCAGATTCAAGCGATTCTCCTGCCTCAGCCTCCTGAGTAGCTGGAACTACAGGCGTGCGGCACCACACCGAGGTAATTTTTGTATTTTTAGTAGAGATGGGGTTTCACCATGTTGGCCAGGATGATCTCGAGCTCTTGACCTCATGATCTACCTGCCTCAGCCTCCCAAAGTGTTGGGATTACAGGCGTGAGCCACCACACCCAGCCTATATTTCTAAATCAGTAAGAGTGCTAAGTAATATGTTTTGTTAAATCCATATGCTTTTAAAGAAATGAATACAAGAGAATAATAATGTTTTCCGTTGGGAGGGAAGATCCGCCTACATGGCCAGTAACCCAGAGCCCAAGCCAGATAAGAATAATTATTAACAGACTGATAAACAGGCTCATATGCTTCATATGTGATAAATGAAGTGTCTCATGCTAGCCAGAGAAGCATGATTTTTGAGAGGACAGCCCATGACCTTAGTAACTTGCCACTTGTTATGGCAGAGTTATTTTGAAAGCTTTCTCAGTAACTAAAGGTTCAGTGTATGTGCCAGGCATTT